TTAAAGGGCAATGCAAAATGTCAAATGTTAATTCTGAGTACAATAGTATTTAAGTGGTCTTTTTACTTTAATGAAGTTGTCAAAAACACCAAGGAAAACAGCAAGTGTTTGTGTGTACCAACTTGAGCATATATTAAATTTTTGTAAACTTTGTTTCAGGATTATGCTATGTATTCAAAAATTTGATATTTGGTTCTCTAAATCACAGGAATTTAGAAACAAAATATTTTCCCAGAACCAGAGTAATGTGAATACAGAAGCCAATGTCTGTGCTTAGAGTGAGAGAAGTATCAATATCACTGGGCCTACTGTCAATCTATTTTTCCAAACTCTTCGCATTTACCACCTGTCACCGTCCTTCAAAATTCTTCCTGACAGCTCCCTGGAGAAATGGTTAATTCTGGACCTGAGATAGGCAAAATACAAGATAAGCCTGAAATAACTGGTAATTAATGAAAGAAAAAACATGCTTTCAAAAAATAGAAAAGACAGGGAAGTGTCAAAAGGACAAAAGAGCCAAAAAAAAAAAAAGCTGGAACAACATGAACAACAAAATAATCTGTGGCCCGCACAATGGCTCACACCTGTAATCCCAGCACTTTAGAGGCCAAGACAAGAGGATTGTTTGAGCCCAAGAGTTCGAGACCAGCCTGGACGATATTTTATAAAAATATAAAATAAATAATCAAAAATAAGTAAATATCAGCAAGGATAATTGTGGATTACAACCCAAAGAATAAAATTAATACCGATGGTCTATAGTGATATAAATGAAAAAAAGAAAAAATATGAAGAATACACAAATCTTCCTTACAGGAAATTTATACTGTAGAAGGAATGAGGGAAATAAAAAAAAAAAAAATCACCATTAGAACTCAACAGTAATAATAGCAGTAATAATAATGGATCTTGTCTAAAATCCATTAAAATGGTAAAATTAATGAGGGGAACTTTATTTGCTTGGCTTCGAAGCATCTCCCCCAAAATACTAACAGTAGCTTCAATATATGTCCACAAATTCACATTCTCCTCCCTCTAGAAAGTAGAGCCTAATTCCCTTCTCTCCTTGAGAGTGAGCTGGACTTGGTGACTAGCATCTAAGGAATAGTATGTGAAGGGGAAAAAATACTAACCTGACAGATTAACCAAATCATCAGGTTAAATTCATTCAACCAGTTATATATTATGGACACCCAATATGTGATAAAAGTAATTTCTGTGGTATTCTTCCCCCAAAAATCCATAACTTCAGTCTAATCATAACATCAAATCCAAATGAGATCAAGTGTCATGGTCATGAAAGACAAGAGGCAAGACAAACTGACACAGATCAGGAGACTACATACAATGTGGCATCTTGAACTGGATCCTAGAACAGAAAAAGGACATTACTAGAAAAACTAAGGAAATCCAAATAAAGTCTTTCATTAACAGTATTTTATCTATGTCAATTTCTCAGTTCTGCTAAATGTACCTTGATTATGTAAGATGTTAACACTGGATAATGGGTATGTTAAGACCTCTCTATGACAACTCTTCCAGAAATCTTATTTTATCTCAAAAATACCATTTTCCTGAAAGAAAAAAAACTTCAGGAATCAGAATACTTAACAACTATCTTTTATCTCAGTGTATCCCTTTCCCACTCCGAAGTTAAAACCTACTCAGGTTCATAAAGAAAAACCTTCATTCTTTCTCATCAAGTGAAAATCTATGTTACAGTTAATACTAATGCTCATCGGCAAAATTCTTAAACCGATGATCAAGACAGGTGGATACACTCCAGGGAAATCTAGGCGACCTCAGAGTGCAGAAACAAGGGTGTACTTAAGGCACAGCCTATAGCTTTGCATAAACAGCATATGGGAGAAGCCTGCAAGAGCAGGTAGGTGTCACATTCATACATTCCAGATTCAAAATCCCTCTAAGTTTTTTAAATTAAGGAAATAAGCTGACTATAGTACCCTATTAGGTACCACATGCTTTTCAAAACAGTTTTGACAATTCGGTTTCAGAGCGTCAATTCACTTCTTAGTATAAGTATGGTAATACCACAGGTGTGAAAGCACTTTCAAAATATGCAAAGGGTTACACAAATACATAATGATGCTTTATATAGCCAATGAAGTTAATAGCCACCAAAGATTACACGCCGACAAAGTAGATGTGTATACCATCCAGGGAGCCAAATTTATCTCAATCATCTTTAATCTTTACTTTTTATTAAGTACCTAAGATACAACACACATACCAAAAACGTATTACATGACAGACTGGCCATCTGACAGAAGAGGGACTCTATCACAAAGTCGCCTGAAGACCTTATTTACTAAGCTACAGGCTGTGAGGGCAATTTTTTTGAAATTGCTTTCCACCTTGTAAGACAGAATATTAAGACACTATTCATGTGTTAAGACATTATTCATGTGGATGAATTATTCCTACTCTTAACCTTATCACCTGGTTTGCAATTTGGCCTTCCCAACTAAAGACAGACAGGATGTCCAAGAATACTCAAAAAAAAAAAAAAAAAAAAAAGTAAATAGCTGATTTCTGAGATGTAAAATTATAAACCTAGTTTGCCACCACATTGTGATCACCAACTACATGTAAGATAACAGTTGCTGAATCTAAATTTAACTCCAGGGCTTGGAAGGGCAGTACTGCACTACCAAAGGTTTTTCCCACTTGGTGTGGACAAATTACTGGGGGGGCGGACGAGGCTTCCTTTCTTTTTCTTTCTTTTTTTTTTTTTTTTGTGACCTACCTACTTCCACAATTATTCATTCTTCTTCCTAAAGTCAGTAATAGTTTTGTCCAAGGAAGCCAAAGCACAATATAATTAAACAAACAACATACAATGCCTATTTGAATTCTGAAACAAAAAAAAATCAATTTGCAAACTGTTAAAAGACCAAGTGGGTACTTTTATCAGACTGACAAAAATAAAAAATTGTAAAATTGGCTTTAGTCACAAATGTAAGCTTTATGTTAAATTTTGTCTTTTAACACTAACCCCATCAGTCCTAAGGACGATATAAAATTCACAAACTTTTACAAAAACTTAAAACTGCCTTCTGCCGTTCACTTTCTATGCAAAATACTAGAACGAGTGGGGAAAAAAAAGAAAAACCATAAGTTACAAAAGAAAAACTGCTCTAAGTAGGTCACAAACCAACATAACCAAAATCTCCTAATGTTCCCTGGTGGACTGTCAGCTGAGAACAGCAAACTGAGTTAAACAAAGAACTGTCTACTTTTCTACCTGTAAGAGGTACAAAAGCTAGACTTTTCTACCGGTAAGCAGCTCCAATGGTAGGGATGTAGGGCGGCCGTGCCAAGCCTTACATTACCACAATTTGCTTCAACTCACTAGTTCCTGATAAAGGAATGCACAAGTGATCAGCTGGAGCACCGGTCTGTGAAATAATCACGTAATTTGCATATTCCTGCCCAAGTGATAACCATTTGCCTGAGGCCAAGAACTGTATTTTTTTTTTTTTAATATTTTAAGTAGAAACTAACAAAATTTTCCCTCAATAATGCGTAAGGTAATTTCATTCTATTTTGCCTCAAGCTGTAATAAAATTAGCTGGACTCAAGCTTTAACAGTTTAAATGCAGATCATTCTAGTGTTTTTCCATTTGACAACTTAAATTGCTCGTCTTTAAGTCTAAGTTAAAATGCTAATTCAATAGTTAACCAGTCCGTAAGGGCAGGTAACCGGAATTGCTACACCAGGAAAGTTCCAAGTAAATGTTACTTGGAACATTGTTACATTATAACGCATAACAGCTTCTCTAGAAAGAGTTTCTAGAACATGTTTATAGAAACGTTTATGTTTATAGAAGCGTTTCTATAACATAGGAAGATTTATTTCACTAAGCCAAGGAGTATGCTGGCTTTTAAATAACCTAAAATATGGTAACTCTACTAGAAAAATATAATCTCAAGTGTCTGAAGAAAAGCATCCTGTTTCTGCATATACACAGGAACCCAGCAGAGTAAATGCTAAATAAACGGAGTGTGTACACAAACTTTCATCCACTGATCTCGACTGTCACAGTTGTTTTTTCCAAGACATCTCCAACACCAGTAATTCGGCCAGGGTGACACGCGCCACAGAGATCAAATGTATATCGTAACTGGGCGCCATCCTTTCCATTCCAATTCCGTATTTTAACCTACAGATGCTAGTGAGATCTGAAACTCGTTGCTTTGCACCTCACTTCCTTCAACTATAAAGTTAATCTTCTCAAGGTCTTTCTCCAAAAGCCTCCTCCAATTAAAAAAAAAAAATAGAGAGAAAAAAAAATTCTACGTCTAAAACCGGAGCCTAACTTCCCGCTGGCGGGAATTTCCCATCACCAATCTGAGTTTCAAACCCGATGAGGAACACAGTCGATGTTCATTTGCACTTACTCATCGTTTTCCCTACTTTTTTCCAGAAGTTACTGTGGCGGCACATCTACCCACGGCCTGTACGAATACACGTAGAAAAGCAACCCAAACCCTTTTCCTTTGTCACATTCCCACTACCAACCCTTGTCTCCCTGGAAGCCCAGAACTAGCCCAAGTACAAATGCCGCTGCAGCCTGCTCGGCAGGTGGCCTTTTGAGGCTGATGCTGTCCCGAGGGACAAGTGCTCTGGGGGCAAAGAATAAAACAGGCTTGGGAAGCGGGGGACTCGGAGTCAGAGGGCCCGGCGTCAGCAAATCCCCGCCCTTCCCGTGCGTGCCTGTGACCCCGCTCTCCAGACCCTTGCCTTGGGCCGCTACGGAAGGAGGACAGCCGTACCCACCTCGCCGGTTCACTGCGACAATCAAATCAAAGGCAGAAAAGCGGCTCCGCACAGTGCCGGGCACATAGCGAGAGCGTGGAAAGAACACTGGTTGTTACTATCACTCCGTGCACTCGCTGCTCCCTTTCCTCCCTGCAAAACTGAAGGCACTTCTGCGGCGCGCGGACCACAAGACTCTAGACTTTAGTGCTGCACCCACCCTTAAACGAAAGCTTCCTTCTGGTCCGAACCGACTGGATCTCTTGGCCAGGGGACGAAAAGACTCCGCAGGCGCGTGGCGGAGTGGGTGGCGGGCGGGAAACGCTGGGCGCAGAGCCCCTAGTCCTCGAGGCCGCCCTGGGGCCCGGGCGGCGGCCGCGACTCACTCCCGCCCCGCGTGGCCGTTGAACGCAGCACGCGCACGCGGCGGACACGGCCACGCGCCCCAGTCGGGAGGGGAGGGGGAGCGGGGAGCCGCCGCGCTCCCGTCCGTCCGCCGCGCGCGCCTGCGGCCGTTGGGGCTGGGGTGGGGGTGGGGGACGCGCCTGGCGCGGCCGCCGCGAGCGCCACTCAGACTTCTCCCTCTCACAATTGCCGCGGCTCAGCTTAGTCCTCTGGCTGCCCTGCCCCGCCCACACCCCTGCATACCTACCTGATTGAGCTGGAGAGGAACTAGCTCTGCTCCACAGCACCAAGGATAACAGAAACCCCTCACGCAACTGCGTCCGCACACACGCGTGCTCCGCCGCCGGTCTATATAGCTGCCACTCACCCTAACTTGTTGCCGCCAGGTCGGGCGACGGGATGACCAATCCCGACCGCGTCCTCCGGGCTCTTCGAACAGCAATTGGGCACTTACTGGGGATGAAGGCGTGGCTCTTGATTGGCTTTGACTCATGCCTATGAGACTGTGAGGATCTCGTTTCCCTAGTAACAGATCGGCACTAAGAGAGACCAATAACCGAAAAGTACAATAGAAAGGCGGGTGAGCAGTTCTTTGACTGATACCCAGAGTAGCCAATAAATATGCGGAGCTGCTCTTATTCGTTAACACGTCTTCCCCTGGGCGGAGATCCGTTTTCCATGCAGGAGCGGTTGCGCCACAAGGTGGGGCCCGTGTACTTTGGGGAAGTAAACCCCTAGCAACTAGGAGGCGGGCGCCCGAGAGGCCAAGACAGCCTGTGGCCAATCGCAATGCCGGAAGGAGTTGATAGACACGGAGGTTACGCTGCTCGGAAGAGACCGAGCCCCAGGGCGACCGTGCCCTCTGGGCGGTTGTGAGGTTATGCAGGCTGCGGCTTCTGCTCTCTTTCCTTTCTTTCTCTGACTTGCTGGGTCCCGGCTCTGAGGCGTGCACACCGCCTTTTCTGCACAGTTTGGTACCTGTGGGGAACTAAGTGGCAAAGTTTCCCGGGTGGTTTTGTTTTTATTACAACTTTTTTTTTTTTTTACATACGACGGCCAAGGGCCTTGCTGCCCTCACCATTACTCAGCACTGCTGTGGGGCACGGGAAGGAAAGTCGCTCCTGCGCCGCCTGCGGGCTCCCGCCGGAAGGTAGCCAGTGGAAGCGCCTGGGAGCGCGCCCTTCCGCCAGGCGCTTCCGGGCGGGTGCTGCGAGGCGGCCGCGGGCGTGTGGCGAGGCTCCCTTTGTGGCGGCTGAGGCACGGTGGTCCGCGCGTGCTCCAGTGTAGTTTGGGCCCTCGCACCACGTCTCGAGCCGCGGCACTATTGTTCAGCCTCCAATTGCCGCGGATGGGGGCTTATTCTCGTCGCTACGCCTTTAAAGGGCAACTCATCCCCTCCTCCTGGCGTCTCAGGCACTGGCGGGGCTATAACTCATGGCTGGGCGGCCGTGCGTGGGTCGCCGTGGGCATTTTCTGTGGAAATAGCTTTGGTTCCCAGCCGTCAGGCACAGACACGACCCGGTTTGTTTTCGTTCGGGCATGTGACCAGGCGGGAGGGTCTCCCGCGGAGTGTCGCTGAAAATTTTGGAAATGAAGCACATGGAGCACCTATGTAGGGGTAGAGAGGCCGAGCTGAAAGGAGCACGGGCGCCGGCCTCAACCTGTGGGGAGCCGGGCCCGCTCGCCTGCCTGCGCCTGGCTAACCCGAGCCTGGAACTCGGGAAGCCCAGGAGCGAAGTGAAAGCCCCTTCTGGTCTTTCAGGGCTCCACTCCCGCAGCAGCCCAGCTCCGTCGGAGTCAGTGGAGCCCCAGGCCTGGGTCCGAGTTGAGCGAGACGCTGCCCTGGCTCGCGATTGCCCGGGCGCTCCCAAAACCAGGGAACAGTCCCCAGGAGAGAAGCCCCTGAAGTTTCCTGGAGCAGGGAATCTCCAAGATCCTGTTCTGCAAAGGAATCTGGACTTTATTCTGAGGGCCGTGGAGAACCCCTGCAAAGTTTTTTAAAAGGTGGACTAAGATTGGCATTTCACAACATGACTTCAAATTGAAACACTGGCCGGGCGCGGTGCCTCAAGCCTGTAATCCCAGCACTTTGGGAGGCCGAGACGGGCGGATCACGAGGTCAGGAGATCGAGACCATCCTGGTTAACACGGTGAAACCCCGTCTCTACTAAAAAATACAAAAAACTAGCCGGCCGAGGTGGCGGACGCCTGTAGTCCCAGCTACTCGGGAGGCGGAGGCAGGAGAATGGCGTGAACCCGGGAGGCAGAGCTTGCAGTGAGCTGAGATCCGGCCACTGCACTCCAGCCTGGGTGACAGCGCGAGACTCCGTCTCAAAAAAAAAAAAAAATTGAAACACTAAGAAGATTGGCGAAACTTAACATTTACAGATTAGTAATTTAACCCAGGTGACCCGCGATGAGGGACATGGCTACCCTTCATTTTTGGAGGGAATTTTAAGTGATACAGATCTTTCTGCCAAGCAATTTTTTTTTTTTTTTTTTTTTGAGATGGATTCTCACTCTGTCGCCCAGGCTGGAGTGCAATGATGTGGTCTCGGCTCTCTGCGACCTCCGCCTCCCGAGTTCAAGCGATTCTGCTGCCTCAGCCTCCCGAGTAGCTGGGATTAAGGGAGGAGACTACCCCTCATATCGTCTGATGCCCAATTTCTGCCTCCAAAGAAAGAAGTAAAAACTAAAAGGCAGAAAGAAATCCACAGGCAGCCAGCCCGGTGCAGCACCCTGAGCCTGGTAAAGATTGACCACTGACCTAATTGATTTTGTTATCTATAGATTACAGACATTGTATAGGAATACACTGTGAAAATCCCTATCTTGTTTTGTTCCCATTTAATTACCAGTGAATGCAGCCCCCAGTCACATACCCCCTGCTTGCTTAATCAATCACGACCCTCTCACGTGCACCCCCTTAGAGTTGTGAGCCCTTAAAAGGGACAGGAATTGCTCACTCCGAGAGCTTGGCTCTTGAGACAGAAGTCTTACTGATGCCCCTGGGCGAATAAACCCTTTCCTTTTTTAACTCGGTGTCTGAGGAGTTTTGTCTGCCGCTCGTCCTGTTACATTTCTCGGTTCCCTGACCGGGAAGCGAGGTGAATGGTGGATGGTCAAGGCAGCTCCTTAGGCGGCTTAAGCCTGCCCTGTGGAACATCCCTGCGGGGGGACTCCAACCAGCCGGAGAGCTGAGAGCGCTCCCGGGTAGGCATTTGCCCTGGTGGTACGCTTCGCCAGAGCAGTGTGTGGCAGGCTCCCGTGGAGGATCAACACAGTGGCTGAACACCAGAAAGGAACAGGCACTTGGAGTCTGGACATCTAAAATTTGGTGAGACTAGTCTTTGAAACTTGCCCACTCCCTTTGAGTGGAAGCGTGGCCTGATCACCCATGGCGTGCCTTTATTGGCACTTTGGTTTTGATTTTGATTTGGTTTGAGTTGCTTGACAGGACCGGTCTTGGGAACTTGTCCACTCTATTTGAGGGGAAGCGTGGGCTGATCACCCACGGTGTGCCTGTACCGGCACTTTGGTTTTTGTTTTTGAGTTGATATTTTGGTGTTCGTTTTGACCTGGCTTGGATTCCTGGATACTCTGATTTTGGTTTTTATTTTGGTTTGGTGTAAACTACAAAAGTGTGTGTGTGCCCTTTTTACCCGTTCTTTTGTGGTGTGCGTGTGGTGTTAGCATGGTGTTTTGTCTAGAGGAAACATGGGTAAGGCACAAAGTAAGCCCACTCCACTAGGAACTATGTTGAAAAATTTCAAAAAAAAAAAAAGGATTTAAGGGAGACTATAGAGTACTATGACACCAGGAACACTTAAAACTTTGTGTAAGATAGACTGGCCAGCATTAGAGGTAGGTTTGCCATTAGAAGGAAGCCTGGACAGGTCCCATGTTTCAAAGGTATAGCACAAGGTAACATGTAAGCCAGGGAACCCAGACCAGTTCTTGTACATAGACACTTGGTTACAGCTGGTTTTAGACCCCTGCCCCCAACGCACAGTGGTTGAGAGAACAGCAGCGTAAGCGGCTGGCAGAGGCAAGGAAAGACCAGCAGAGAGAGAGAAAGGAAAGAGTGGGAAAGAGGCAAAGACAGAGAGAGGAAGAGACAGACAGAGGGAGTCAAGGAGAGAGAGAGAGAGGGAGAGAGAAAGAGGCAAAAAGAGAGAGGAAGAGACAGAGGCAAAAGGAAAGTCAAAGAGAGAAAGAAGGAGAGAAGTAGTTAAGAAAAAAGAAAAAAAAAGTACCCTATTCCTTTAAAAGCCATCATACCAATTCTAATTTGGACAAAACAAGGTCTTATGAATAGCAAAGGATAATTAAAATCCCAAACTTACAAGGTTTTCAACAAAAGTAAAGTTTGCTAAAAGTTAACAATGTAACATGTATTATAGTAACTTATATTCTTGTGGCCTTAGACAGTCTAGTCCACAGACATAAAAAAAGGTTCACTTTGGAAAAGAATGGTTATCATCTTCGGGAAAAAAAGGGGAAAAAAGGGGGGGGGGGCGGAATTTATATAAAAGGAGTGTCTTATGGTAAATTCTTGTCCTGAAATAAATTAACTGGTTATTTAAAGAAATAAATGTTTGTAATAAGTCAGAAAGTTAAGGCATGTCGAAAAATTGCCAGTAAAAGTCGTGAAGGAGAAAAAAAAGTTATTTTAAAAAGTGTGTTAAAAAAGAATTTATGCAAAAAATGTTTTATAATTTAAAAGTAACTAGGCCTCCTGAATGTAAAACTATTGGGGAAAAAAAACAGTTTATGTGCAAGGTGTATAAGAAAAGCAAAATATACCTTTGGTAAAAGGATTATAAGGAGGCATAAGACTGTACATTTTTACCTACATTAAAAAGTTTAAAAAAAATTTTTTTTTTGTTTTGAAGGTTTAAGCAAGTTTGAAAACGTTAATTGTAAAGAACATTCTGTGTGTAAGCATATTAGCTAAAGTTAAAGAAGTATCATCCAGTTTTTCTGTGAACTGGACATTAAAGTAAAAGCATAACAGGTTTTTCTTAAAGCACCAACCTGTTCTTTAGGAAAAATTATAAAAGATTAAAAAGAGTCTATAAAATCTTACCTTATGGTCAAACATTAAAAATTAAATAAATATATCTACAAGGTTTTATTAAAATTAGGTTTAACATTAATGGCACACTAATATAAAGATAACCTTTAGCTTATCTGGTGTAAAAATCATACAAGA